AGAATCCGTCCAAATGGTATCCGTTTAACACGAGGACCCGGCAATTACAAAATTCCTTCGGCCGATGACATACCCCGACATTTCAATGTCAAACTATTGAAAGGATCATCAAATCAAAAAGCTATATTTTCTTCGAAGGTAGATTATGTTTATATCCGAAGGTAGTTCATGATCAGTAGAATTTTTGGACTTGCTAGTCGGAAAGAACTGACGCCCATAATTTTGCCGTTGAGAATCATTCGTTCGGAATCCTGCATATGATATTTGAATGTAATCAATCCTTCAATTATTTATTTTTAGTCATGAATTCTACCCAAGAAATTGCTTTTGTTATCAGATTTTCATATGAGATCACTGAAATTGATCGTAACGATCTGTGAACACTTCAGGCCGTAGGTGAACCGCCGCTGTTCTTAGGAGCAAGTGCGTTCTTTGCGATTCGTGAGGCTGTGCGTTCGTATCGCATGGATAATGGACACAATGGATATTTTCGATTCGACAGTCCTGCTACGAGTGAAAGGATTCGAATGGCATGTCATGATCAGTTTGTTGACAAGGTGATTCATTTCAGTATGAATAAGTCTTTCAAAATTTTGACTATATTAAGAATCAAATCATTTCGCTCTGACATTTAATGCCTCATGTATTCAACTCTTTCTTGTTGAAACTAACTGATGTTGTCGGCTCTCAAATTATTCCATCCCACCCGATGTGGTCATTCAGTTGCCACTAGCATCAGCATACATACATTTTATGTGGGAAGCAATATTTGCCTGATTTATTTGCATCATACACTAACCACAAATCGCACACATTCAAGCATTCAGCACCGAACCCTTCTTCCGAAGTAGCTCACAATCAGTGATTTTAACGGAGTCTTTTGCAGGTGTCAAAGCTGTCCCAGCCATCTTCTTTCATCCCGTGGACGGTCGAACCATAAAATGCCATCGATTGTTCGCTTATTCACTGACTGTACATTTATGTTTATATTCACTTATTCTTATTGTTAGGATTTTTTCAGTTGTTTCAGCGATTAAAATAACCCTCAATCAGATAAGTATAGCTGCTCATGAACTGAATAAGGTGAATAAATCTAGATGTTGGTAGATGAGAAAATAATTTTATTGGATTATGCCACTTTTTAACTGTGCGCTCGATATCCCCTGATATCTACACTTTCACTCTTATTTTGTTATAAGCGACACTTATTTCCGCTGCAGACGATGAGTTTGATACGTAACGAATGGGTAGGAGGATACTAACTGAGCTTTCTTATCTTCATTTCACAACTATTGAATAATGAGCGGTGAACACGTATGGAAACATGCAGACGAGTCTTTTTTATTTATTACAGATTGTGTTTGCTGTGATATGTATGTGCTATCAGGTGTGATTAATTATGTGCATGTGTGTATCATGTTGATGGCAGTTTCGAAAAAATTATCTCATCAAGGAATCTTTTTCGATGTCATTATTTTTGTGTGTTAGACAATCAGTCATCATCCACGGCTTGTAGTTGATTCACGAAACAGATAAAACATGCGTCGCAACTGAAAGAACATCAATCAATATAAGACATCCGTTGAATTTTCCTGTCGATTCTTCAGATTTCGCCAGAATGTCGCCCTCCTTTCCTCGTAGTTATTCTTCATTGTCATCGTCTCCTTAATACAAAGATATTTGTAGGTGTCGTTCTCGCTCAATGGTTCCCATAATTTTTTACCATCCACTCCATTCGGATCGCTAAAACATATCAATAACCGTGAGTGTTATAAAATTATAACCGACGCGCCCAACTGAAGAATCAATGATGCCACACAACCCAAAGTTGCTTTAGCACGACTGATCTCATCTGCTAGAGCAAAGATTTTTTGTGAAAAANAAAAAAAATGTTAACAACGAGAAGTAATGTGCTCAGTCAAACGAACCCGTATTTTGCAAAATTCGTGAAAAGCGTTGTGAAATTTTCCACAACTTTTTTGTCGGCTTCATTCGGCTTGAAAGGTGCGATGAGGCCATGTGCGAATAAATACGGCAGTTCAGTAGCATGAGTTGAAGCTGAAGAGCAGTTTGATGAGCAGAAATGAAACAATTTTCAAGCATATTTCGAAAACCTTGAAAACTGAGTCCGAGCGAATTTTATTCTAATTGGAAGGAAAAAAATTAATCTTATCGTAACGGTTTAATGGACAACAAATCATTGGAAGAGTATTGAAGTTTATGTGAATATTATGGTTACAAAATTTATTTCGTGCAACGACATAAAGGGGAGAGCCTATAAAATGACATTAGCAATTGAGAATAAGTGACCTTTAAAAGGAAACAGGCACTTGACAAGGCCGAAATCGTTGCTGTTGCAGTGCTCAAAACTGTATAAATAAACTGTGTGACCGGCCGCGTTCATATCCTCGGCAAAATCGTGGACAGCGTTCGTTATATACAGGTCACTCAATAACTAAGAAAAATTTCAAAATTTATTCACTCAAAAGTCTCAACTTTTTGTTCCTCGGACACTGAAGTTGTTTGCTGTAATCGAAATTGTTCCACAAATTCACATGAATCAATCATTTGGTTAACATCGAGTTCAACTAACTTCAGCGTATAAGACATTCACACTGGAAGAAAGTAACAGAATTGTGCAAAGGGGAGACTTATGCAAATGCGCACCAATAAGAAAGGAAATTGAAATATGGATTAGATATGTCTACACACCTTAACATATCCATAACTAGACTGTTTCTTGGAATCGCCATTTTTCATATATAACGATAGTGCCTCTTTTCTCAATTGCTCATAGTCGGCAAAATGGTGCTGCGTTATTCTGTCGGGAATAAGCTGCTTCAAACGTCCCAGCTTGAATTGTGGTCCACCCAGAGCAGCTTCAAATTGCAAAAATTTGGTACAATGGTTAAAAAAAAACAACATTTTCATGCCACAGTCAAAATCATCCATTGACTTTGAACACTGTTGTTTAGGTCATATTAGTATTTTAGATCAGTATCAGTTTAGGTGACATGCAGTTGATCACTCACTAAACAAAAGTCCCTCCAACTCAGTGGTGCCAGTCATGCACAACTTCTTTGGTATTTTCTTTCTGAGTTCAGCGATTGGTTCGGGCAGAAAGTCGCCATCAATGATGGGTACAAATATCAAACCGCCTTGTCTGGATAGCTTCTTACGAGCTGGTATAATGCCCAAACTCAAATGTTCACATGGCTCTTTCTTCAAAAATTCCATGAGACTTCGCTTTATTTCCTCGTCGCTTCCTGCAACAAAACAAAACCAACTGCTGCATCACTGTTGTCTCATCATAAAAGGATTTACTTCAAATNACTTCAAATAATCAGAATTCAGTGTCGAACCATTCTTAGGCGGCGACCATCCATGTGCTTTCGCACGCTTCATTGCTTCACCCACTATGTTATCGGCAGTATTTGTAGCCCATTCGCAGTATGCACTCCCACTCATCGCAACCACTTTGTTGAATAAATCTGAATTTTTTGAAGAGTTTCACCAATTTTCTAACAAATAAGATATCATTCTTTTGGTATTGCTATTATATCTTAGCGTAAAGATGAAATCGTTATGTTGTCAATAAACTGAACGAATGTCCCGTTTACGCGCTAGTATGACTCTGTTTAAATTGATCGCTTTCATACATCAAGGAAAGGATTTGACATGAACTCACTCACACCCACTATTATTGAGAGATTTGAAATAATTCTACTCCAAAAAAAAATTCATCTCATTTCCATTTTCAGAAACAATTTAATCATTCAGCAATAATTCAATATCAAATGCAGATTCAATGAAATCTGGGCACCTCGACTATGTGGTGAAACACATAACATATCTACTGAAGCTGCACCAGCGCTTTGGCCAAAAACAGTCATATTGTCCGGATTGCCGCCGAAAGCTCGAATATTATCTTTGACCCAATGGAGCGCAAATGTTTGATCCCATAGGCCGAGATTCGGTATGCAATTCTCATCGCCTGTAGCCATAAAACCAAGCATTCCCAAACGATATTGTATAGTCACGACAACCACATCTTTGGTGCACAAAGCACTAAAATGATCGCAATATCGTTAGCGATTGTAAGCTTTCATAATCACTGGAAACTATTTGCATTTGTTCATACCGTTAATAATGAGGAACATTCTCGACATTGCCTATTAGAGTCAACTACATGCACTGCAGCAAGTAAGCAAACGAGAATTGCCGCAAAAAACCTGCCTGCATATACCAAAATCACCGTAATTTGCCGACGTATGCATAGCGAAACCTCCTCCATGAACGAATACCATCACGGCTCTCCCATCACCCTGAAATATTCTGTGTAGGTGCGATTTTCACTTAGAACAGAGATAGTAATATGTTCTTTCAGTTGCATCGACCGTTTATTGAGCACATTGTGTCTATGAATCGAAACCTCCGTTTGCTTACAATTGGAATATTCGAATTCAACGATATAATTTCACTGATTGTAAGCAAAAACATATCTGAATGTAATTATGTCGAATAAATTGCATTCTCAAATTCGTCGAAGGGAGAACAACGAATCAGGAATAGCTCACGATTAAAACTTTTCACGAATTTCAAACGCAAAAAAAACAACAAAATGGACTGGCCTCGACTGTGAGTGGTTCTGGTGCAAAAACGTTCAAGTATAAGCAATCTTCGTTGCTTGGAATGCGCATTGAAAGCTTCTCAAGGACGAGGGTTTTTTGTGGTGCCCTTGGCCCATGTTTCTTACACTCTCGTATATTATCCCAACTGTCCGGTGCTTGTGGTTTCTGAAAAAAAAANAAAAAAAAACAAAAAACAAAGCGTTCGGAATTGTCTCATTGCGTGTCCGTCAAACGTTTGCAAACCGCAATTGAAGTGATTACCTCGCACTTCAAACAGTCGAACAACCCACCTGATAGCGCAGCTCTCCAACGGGTGCTTTTGCAAATGGTATGCCCAAGAAAGCATCCACAAATCGACCATCTCCAACGTCAAATTTCTTGCCAACGATTTCTCCACTTGCGATTTTGACGACGTTTGACGTTAGATTCGTCTCAACGAAGTGACGACCAATCAAATTGCCCATTCGCACGACTGATTTCTCGAAACGTCTCGCTGAAAACTTCTTTTGATTGTGTTTACAATTGCTATGAATCATACAACCCCACAAAGAGGCAGGTGTACAACGAACGCTAAGTGCGCAAATCAATCATGAATTGAATCAAGCGAAGCAGTAAGCATCAAATAAACATCAATCAATCATTTGGTCATCGCAAATCCCTTTGAATTTTCCAAATGAATTCTTTATTGAATGTTAGACGCAAATGAAACACGCAACGAAAAAGTTCTAAATGATGTAAGCCATTCGTGACATAATTGTGTCTTCCCAAAAAACATTTATAAGAGTTTAGTGCAACACCAACGAAGAGGATAATATGTATTTCTTCTCGGATCTAGACGTTCGTCGTAGAGTGTAGAGCAGTTGCCATTAGGATTGTGCACTTATTTTGGCATGCTGGGATCATTCAAGATGATATTCTTCACGTTGCACAAGAATTGGAATTTTTGCTTGAGACATTAGTTACCCACAGAGCAGAAATGCAAACAGATCGATTACGACTGATCAGTAGCGTTGAAAAGTGGACAATTTTGAATGAATGCTTAAAAATCGTAACGATGCAATTTATAACAGCACTGATAATTGTTGTATGCGAGGGTTCAATTCACTGGTTGCACAGTGTTTGTGTCATTGAGAAGAGTTTCTTTTATGAGGAGTAAATTTCAGCACATTTGCTGATTACCTTTCATCGCTTTTCAATCACATCACATCGCAATGTGGGAGTCAATCTTATCATAATAAGGCATTAATTGCCCAACTTTTTTTGCTGTTTGTTGGAGGCATTCTTCAAATGAAGAATAATGATAAGGTTGCATTTTTATCGCCATTTTGAGTGCAAATACTTGTTTTCTACCGGACACATCACCCGGAAGAGAAACTATTTGCGTATCACATTCGAAACTAGGGTCGAGAGAATTAAGAATCAATCTGTCTGCTGAATGGTTCGAAAAATTCCGGTTGCAAAATGTATTTTATTCTGTTTCCTTTGTAGTTTATTAACGTACTTTAATGCAGCTCTTTGCTGACTGAGAAATCGACCGCTGTTATATATTACACACAGCGTTTGCACGTAATTTGATGGTAGCAAAAAACTGATATGATAGAATTGCTGTTATAATAGGATCATATCAATGACCGAGTTGGATGTTTCGTTTCATAAGAACCACAAATGATCTGATTTAGATTGCAAACCAGAAACAGATCAATAAATGTTTGGTAAGGCAATTCAATTTAGGATAAGTTTGACTGAGGTCACACAAGAAGGTTCTATAGGTTCTATGGTATAACAACCTTGTCCGCTGAACATGGGCCTCAAATCCTTCACTGTCACCCTAACCCCCGCTCCCCCCCCCACCCCCACAACAGTTTTAAGGAACGAATTTTATCTGGATCCCCCGGAACGAATTCCTCTTCGCACTTAGATATTTTGCCGGGATCCTTCCCGACGTGGTGAGCCCGGCAAACGTTGATCGTGGGAACAGAATAAGTGTTAAACAAGCAATACTGAACGGAACTATTCGTTCTGAAAAGATGAAATCAGTCGAAAATCGAATGCGAGAAAAGCTTAAAATCCGGCAGTCAACGTGACAAAAAGTCGGGATATCCATGAAATGTAAAATAAAATCAAATCGCTGAAGAAGATATCCAAGACATAACTGTTTTCCTA